AGAGAGAGAGAGAGAGTGAGAGCAGGGACACAAGCAGGGAGAGTGGGAGAGGGAGAAGCAGGCTTCCCGCGGAGCAGGGAGCCCAATGCGGGGCTCGATCCCAGGACCCTGGGATCATGACCTGAGCCGAAGGCAGACACTTAACGACCGAGCCACCCAGGTGCCCCAGAAGAGAGCTATTTTTAAAGCCCTGAAGAAAAAAAAATAAAATAAAGCCCTGAAGATTTCAGAATGAATAGCAGGGTCATGAAGTAAGCCCCCTACTCTGAAGGAGCTGGAGATCTCAGCGGAGTTATCCTCCCCCAACCCCCAGATTCAGGATGGTTGCGCCCACTGCAGGCTCCCCCAGCCCTGCACGACCTCTGGGGGGGGTCACTGATCACCTACCTGCAGTCGCCACTTCCCTGGGCGGCAGGCTCACCCCCTGCGCCCGGCACAGGCCCGACACTTGGTACATTTTTTTGTTAATTTAATTAAAAAGCTGCTCAGTATCTTTTCATCTTCGTAAAGATTTCTTCATGCAGAGGAGTTAATAAAGAGGATCAGAGTATGACTTCTTGCTGCTGGCCCAGCCAAGCCAGAAATCAGCATTTATGTGTGCTCTCCCTGTCCGCTCACTCAGAAGAGCCTGGGAGACAGGGAGTCATAGATCCTGAGAAAGGATGGCCACAACTCCCGGGTGTGGAAAAGAGAGGAGGCTGGAATCACAGTTCCAAAAGATGGTGGCTGAGAAGATGCTGAGACCCAGGGGCAGCTGAGAGCCTTTGGCGGATGTTTGTAGTTGATTTGAGACCAAAGAAACACAACTTCGAGGTCCTGGCTCAGAGAGTAGAGGAGGTTCCTAGGTAAACAGGCCCAGGACCGGCCCACAGAGCCAGGCTCCTGGCACGGGGGGTTTGGGGTGCATGGGGTGCTGGCACACCCAGGGCTTCCTGCTTCCACCTTCTCCCGACCTTTGGTGCCCACGGAATTGCCTCGTTCAGCAGGTGCTCGGGCCGGCAGGAGGCCCGAGAGCACCCAGCCTGGCGCTCACGGTGGGGGTGAGGTGTGCCACCCAGTGGTGAGCCGGCACCAAGGACACTGTCCCTTCCAGACTACCTAAAGGAGCAACTGGAGCAGTACGTGAAGAAGCTGCAGGTCGTGAGGGTGGTGCGGCAGGAGGAGCGGAAGGGCTTGATCACCGCCCGGCTGCTGGGGGCCAGCGTGGCCCAGGCGGAGGTGCTCACCTTCCTGGATGCCCACTGTGAGTACAAGGGGACCAGCCTGGCACCCAGGAGGCCCGAGGGTGGTCCGAGCCCCTGCCCCGCTCTCCGGCGGAGCAAAGAGCCAGGGCATCACCAAGGCCCCTGCTGCTCTGGGATTAAAGGTGGCTTGGGACCCACTTTAGCTAGCTTCTCGTGCCCTCTTCTCATCCCAATCCCAAGGATGTGCTCTGGAGCCCCAGACTCCCCTCTGTCTTCCTTGCTTGCTCTGTACCTCGTTCTGAGCTCAGCCCCTCAAAGAGGCCTCCTGTCACCACTGGGAACTAGTTTGTATGGAGCTTTCCCATAGGGCCACATGGAGCCGAAAAGACCTCCTCTTTGCCCCCAACCCAAACACCTCCCCACCGTTGTCTGGAAAGAAATTGTTCCCTGAAAGCAGTGATATGTATTAGGGAAAGCTCTAGACTCGGAGTCAGGAGACCTGGGTTTGCCTTCTGGCTCTGCCAGTAACTGAGCCTCAGTTTCCCCATTTGTAAAGTGGGAATGAGGATACCAACCTTACTTACCAACAGAATTACTACTCCAAGGGCCAAATAAAGTAATCTATATAGTTCACTGAAAATCTCAAAGGGCTAGTCTAGCGAAAGGGATTATTATTCCACAACTGGAGCTGAAGCTTGAGGTGCGGTCTCCCTGGAAGAGGGGACACCCCCTTCTGAAGTCCACACTTGGGTGGGGAAGGCTGATTCAGTGGATAGGCTGGAAACCCTGAAAGGTCACCCATCCAGGTTCTTCCCTGTGCTTTGGATCATTTGAGTTGATCATTTGGGTTACTCCCCTGAGACTTCCATTCTTCCCTTCAAAGTTACCTCCACCTTTTGGTTGGGTGAGCGGGGTGGGTAGGAGGGTCTCAGGAGATCTCTCTATGCATTCTACAACTATGGCGCTCGTCTGTATTTCTCTAACACTAGGGAATGTGGGGAAGGTTCTCTTGTCCTCCTGAGTCTCCCTCTTGGTGTGGGGCCTGGGCTCAGCTGTGGCACGACCCTGACTGCTGTCTCCTGGACCCGGCCTGCAGGTGAGTGCTTCCACGGCTGGCTGGAGCCCCTCCTGGCTCGCATTGCTGAGGAAGAAACGGCGGTGGTAAGCCCAGACATCGTCACCATCGACCTGAACACTTTTGAGTTCTCCAAGCCCGTCCAGAGGGGCAGAGTCCACAGCCGTGGCAACTTTGACTGGAGCCTGACCTTTGGCTGGGAGACTCTCCCCGCCCATGAGAAGCAGAGGCGCAAGGATGAGACCTACCCCATCAAGTAAGGACCATAGCCTGCTGAGCCCCACGCTGGCTTCCAGGGACCCAGGCCATCTTAGATCCACATTTATCAGGCACGCCACGAAACACTTGATATAGTTTCGTTACTCCTCATCCCCTCCGCGGTGGATGCTAGGATTAGCCTCTTTTACAGGGGAGAACACAGCCTCCTAGGGATGAGCAGTCGGCCTCAGATGATGTGGCTAGCACCTGGTGGAATAAGGATCCAAAGCTCACGCCCCTAACCGCAGCCCTGCACTGCCTCCCACTATGACCGACTGCTCTTCTTCAGCACTTACTGTGTGCCAGGCACTGACTGAGGGCTTTATGTAGTTTGTCTTTTTATTCCTCCCCACACGTGGAAGACCATGACAGGTGTGTGCAGAGGTGCCGAGAGATGGGGGGTAGAGGCCACTTTTAAATCGCCCTTATAATAGGGGGCCTTGTACTCCCAGGTCAGTATCTTTGAAAGGACTGAAAACATATTGAAGGCAACTAGACATGTGTTCTGCTGTTTGCAGTTTGTTACAGGTACCCTGAACTTCTCCGGTAGAGGGCCAGACAGCAAGTCGTTTGGGTTCTGCTGGCTACATATAGTCTGTTGCATATTCTTCCTTGTTGGTTTGTTTTGGTTTAACCACCGTTTGAAAGTGTAAAAATCATTCTTTGCCCAGCACCTTATGAAGTCAGGCCAGCTTTGGCCCATAGGCCTTTGTGGGCCCACCCCTGAGCTAAAGGGCAGATACTTGAAAGTTTACCCACTGTTTAATGCCCAGCTGGGTCAGCCCCTCATTCACCCACCCTGTCCTTCCCTCTCCAGATTGCCCATTGGCGCTGTCAGAAACCACAAGTTTATTTTATTTTATTTATTTTTTAAGTAGCCTCCGCACCCAACATGGGGCTTGAATTCACGACCCTGAGACCAAGGGTCGCGTGCTCTGCTGCCTGAGCCAGCCAGGCACCCCCACAAGTTTATTTTAACAGATGTCTCAGCCAACCTGAGTTGGAGAGTGACTTTTAGAGAATCCTCTGGTTTTGGATGGTCTGTGCCATTGTTTTTCCATACTGGCCAGGAAACTTAACTGAATATGCATCAGGGATGGAGGCAGCAGAGGTTGGGGATCCAGTGAGCAGAGAGGTAAGAGGGAAGGCTTGAAAGGAGGAGGGTTGGACTTCCTCCCCCACCACAGGCCCAGATCCTAAGAAATGCCGCCCAGAGCCTCAGTAGAGTGGACCCTGTGGGTGCCACAGGGAGGAATCCCATGGATCCTGAACAGCCAGCTTGCTCTGTCTCCATTAAAAGGAGGAAAAGGAGCAACTGAAGAGGGGAAAAAAGAAAAGAGAAGACAGGAGAGAGAAAAGAGATCGGAAGTCCCTGTTGACCCTCTGCTTGTTTCATAGATGTCTTTTGTTTGATGTGCACAGCAACAAAGCCCCCCTCCCCCAAACTGGGGGCCAGGCACACAGTGGCACAGTCAGGGCCAGGGCACCTGGCCCCTGCCCATCACTGCTGTCCCCTGCTCCAATGTGCGAGGACCACGCAACTAGAAGACAAAGCTCCAGTGTTTGAGGAATGGATTTGCTCCCTCATATAAGCGCCCTGACCATATGCATGGCTTTTCCCAGGCATTTTGCATCGTACCCCACCAGGAGGCCTGTGGGGAGTACCCTCCCATCCTCCGCTCTCAAAGCTAGCAGGTGCCTAAGAGGAGAGGTAAAGGACCCAGGAAGTACAGGGTGTTGCCTGAGGTGCGTTGGGTGTGGGTCTGCAGTGAAGATCCCAGGTAGGGTTTATCCTCAGAGGTAATTTGTCAGTGCCTTCTTGGTCAGAGAGCCCTCTCAAGGCCAAGAAATAGGCCCAGATCAGGGAGACCCTCAAGAAGAAGCGGATTAGCTCCAAAGTGCTCATCTGAAGTCCCAGGGCTCTCTGAGCCTTTCCAGGACTTATTTGGGGTGGGGGTGGGGGGCCTTAGAATGCCTGGGAGAGGCCAGAACCAGCGACAGAAAGCCTGCCTGAGCATGAGAGTCTTCTGAGTGAAATTCCTTCCAGAAAGTGGCCCTGGGAGCCAACTCCTACTTGGAAGCGGCGAGCGCAGCCACAGGGTAATGCCAAGGTCAGGCTCCTTGACCAGTCAGTCCAGTGAACACTTGACTGAGCCCTTGCTGTGTGTAAAGCACCTTGACAGGTTCTGGATTTACAGAGAAGGTTTCAGTCTCCGCTTGAGCGTAGGACCCGGAGCCACCCACCGAGGGCAGCAAAGCCCTATCCAAGCCAGGCTGGCCAGGAGCAGACGCCCACAGCTAATGATTCTTTATAGGCTCCTGCCGCTGTCTTCCTCGGGCTCCGACCCCGCCCTCAACCCTTAGCCCAGGCTCTCTTATGAGCAACGTGGTACGTGAATTCTAGGAATGAGACTTTTTTTTGCCAATTTCGCTTACAGTGGATCTGCGCCTCCCTGCCTTTGTCTGAAAGCCAGAAGCTCCTTGGAACATCCCAGTGCTCCCATTAGTCCAAACTGAGCTGAATTTCACCTCACTTCCTCCTCTGTTTCCAGGAGCACCCCCTTCCTCAGTTTCCTCCGCTCAAAGCAGCCAGGGGCTTTCCCCAAAACTAAAATTTCTCCTGTAGCAGGACTAGGCCCTCCTAACACCATGGCTGTCTAGTCCCTGACTAGGACCAGGGATTCTGAAATAGAATGGGGTCCACCCAGGTCATAATATTCATTCGTTCATGGTTTGAATCCCCTTTCTGAAGACGGATTCACACAGTTTCTGATAACTGAGTATCTACAATGCTCTAGGAACTTTGCTGCCAAAAAGCAAACGACAGCGCCTCTCCCGTCGGCTGCTAGACTGAGCTCTCGGCCACCGAGAGCTTTCTCGGCTGCGTGACTAACGTGCCGCATGGGTCCTGGTGGCCCGGGTTTGACATTTCCTGCCTGGAACGAACGAACCGGTGCCTTTTCAAGGAGGGTGATGATAATGACATCTCTCCTTGACCTGGTCCCAGAAGGTGGGAAGAACACAATAAAGCTCCGTACGTGTTTGCTGAGTGCGTAAGTTAGTGGAAGAGGGAAAGAAGAAAGAAGGCAGGGGGCGGGGGGGTAACGGAGGTGGCGGGTGGTAGCCTAGCACCAAGTCCACAGCTTTCCACACCAGGCTTCTGCTCGTCTTCCCCCGCTCCAGAGATGCACATGCTTCTCCCTCTGTCTCTCCAGATCCCCGACGTTTGCCGGCGGCCTCTTCTCCATCTCCAAGTCCTACTTTGAGCACATCGGTACCTATGATAATCAGATGGAGATCTGGGGAGGGGAGAACGTGGAAATGTCCTTCCGGGTGAGATTGAAGAGGGCTTCGTGGGGGAGCCGCCACGGCCCAGGGGACAGACTGAGCCCCTGTCTCTCAGGCCGTGGCAGCCTCGGGGATATTACAGCTGGAACTGGACTTAAAGGGTGTTTGTTTCCCGTCCTGGAGGCACCTCTCCTCTGCTCCCCCCACCCCCGTCCATGGCAGGAGGGCTTTGAGAATCAGATTGGACAACTCGGAACAAATTCCTGAGCGGAACTCCTCAGAGGGACGGGATTTTAGTGGTAAAGGAACCAGACATCTGGGGCCTGGTGACATGTTTCGTGAGGTCTGTGGGAAGAGTGTTAGGGTGAAGGTGGAGCAGGTCAGTTGGCAGTCACTGTCCTTTCTCAGGAAAAGCTGGGTTTCCCCTTGCAGGCTAGAGGACACAGGCCCTGGTGGCCTTTGAAGTTTTCCTACCCTCTGCTCAGCAAGCCCTGCATCACTGAAGATGGTGGCCCAAACTCTGGTGGACCGCACAACTCGGAGGGATTCCGGGAATAAGGCAAATCGGGATTAGGTTAGGAAGAAAGAATTCCCTCTCCAGGAAGTCCACACAAATCCCCACACTAAGGGAAGAGGTCATTAGCAAGCGGATGAGCTCGTGTATGAAGTCACCTCTCACAGGGCCTGGCACATATGAAGCATGTCCACTGATGGCCTCTGTTACTACGACTATGATTGTGTATTTCTGTTGCTACTCTACTAAAATGAAGAACAACATCTACTAATATAAAACCTAAAAAAGAGAGGACCCGGGTGGGAGGGATGTCTTAAACCGGCCCACTAGCACAGAGAAGGGTCACCAGGTCAGTCCCCGTAACTCCCAGGGTTCTGATTCTAGGCTCATCCATGAGCCTCTGACCTCTGTTCAGTCTCTCTCCTGGGAAGCTAATGTGCTAAAGGTTCAGGTGACTACTCCAGCCCACCTGGAAATTGACTATTCTTGCTATAATGGATGCACCAATGCTCCAATTGGATCACAAGTGTATCTTGATTTGAGGGAGCTTGAGTTCCCAGTAACACCTGGGTGAGTTGATAAAATCACATTTCCAGGTCAACAAGCCAAGTGACTGGAGCTCGGTGTAGGTAAACAGACACAAAGTTAGCCAACCGTCTTTTCCCTAAAGTGGGCCCTGACAACCCTCAGGACCCTGCAAATCTACATTTGCGTAAATCTGAGTTGAACTAACATCATAGAGCTAGGGATTGCATAGTCATGGCCTAGGAAGAATCCTGGTCCATGTCCTTTTTTCTAGGAGAGAGAGCAGCATTTCCCTATGTTCTTAGACCTGGGACCCTAGCGCCCTGGGACTAGAACAGAGCTGCTGGGGCAGGGGGGGTGGGGATGACAGTGACCCACGACCCCCCTGAAGGCCCTATCTTGTGTCCTCTTGTGGCAGGTGTGGCAGTGTGGGGGCCAGCTGGAGATCATCCCCTGCTCTGTGGTAGGCCACGTGTTCCGTACCAAGAGCCCTCACACCTTCCCCAAGGGCATCAGTGTCATTGCTCGCAACCAAGTGCGCCTGGCTGAGGTCTGGATGGATGGCTACAAGGAGATTTTCTATCGGAGAAATATGCAGGCAGCGAAGATGGCCCAAGAGGTGAGAGGAAATGGCACTCGGGAGGGGTTTTGGTGAAGAGAAGGGCAGCATCCCATACCCTAGTCAAGGGCTTAATGGTAGAGGCCCGCCCATCTCTACCCCCTGGTGCCTCCCTTTACCCCCCAGACCCTGTGAGCTGGAGCCCAGGGAGGTCAGAGTTTGAAGGCTAGCGATGAGGAGAGGAGCTTTTGTTGTCCCCGCCTGGGGAGTCCTGGCATGTTTTAGGAGGGGAGGGAGAATGGACTTGAAGAACCTCTTACAGGGCTTTGCTCTGAGAGGCTCAGAATTGAGGTCTGGGAGAAAACTGACAGGGAAATCACAGGGGATGCAGGAGGGAGGAGGCTGTGGGTGGGGGTCCCAAAGCCAAAGCAGGGGTAGGAGGGCGGTTAAATGTGGGGCTAAGCCAGTAGCCCCAACAGGTTCTGAGCAGAAGACCCATTCTTGGAGAAAGTGGCCCCAGAAACTCTGGGCTACTTCAACCGTACAAACAGGTTAAGGCCGGTGGGACTGACCTTTTGGGGGCTGGCTTGGTTGACAGAAATCCTTCGGGGACATTTCGGAACGACTGAAGCTGAAGGAACAACTACACTGTCGCAACTTTTCCTGGTTCCTGAACAACATCTACCCAGAGATGTTTGTTCCCGACCTGAAGCCCACCTTCTATGGAGCTGTAAGTCTCACAAGCCAGCTTGCCCCCCCGTCATCACAAGAACCCCCCAGAGGAGTTCAGAACCGCTTACCCCACCCAGGGATGGCAAACAAGAGTCGATTTTTACTCTCTCCACTCCTTTATCCAAAGAGGACTGAAAGGCCACTGTGGGGCTTCTAGAGATAACCAAAACCTTGTAAGGGGGAAACAGTCCATAAGCAGTGGTTCTCATTCACCTGCATCAGAATCACCTGGAAGGCATGTTAAAACACAGATAGCTGATTCAGTCGGAAAGGAACGGGGCCTGAGAATTTGCATTTCTAACAAGTCCTCAGGTGAGGCCAACGGTCTGGGGATCACACTTGGAGAATCATTGCTCATGAGGAAATTCCTGTGTGCTGAGGGCTTTTCCCAGAGACCTGGCAGCCTGGGAGGTTCCCCAGCCTGCCTGTGCCCAGCCTCTGGGCTCAGCACCTCACTCTGCTGTTATGTCCAGGCGTCTGGGTTAATGAGCAGAGGAGAAATCCAGCCATGCAGATTTGTCCCAATCGAGCCCCACACCACAAACCACACCATTCCTAACTGTGTCATCCTGCTTCCCCTCTCTGCTCACCATTCTGCAGATCCGGAACCTCGGCATCAATCAGTGTCTGGATGTGGGTGAGAACAACCACGGGGGGAAGCCCCTCATCATGTACACCTGCCACGGCCTGGGTGGCAACCAGGTACCCAGCCCCCCCATACTGGTCAGGCCCCAGAGAAGTCTGCTTCTGGAACAACTCCTCTCTTCACAGCCTCTTTCTCCACTCAGTATAGTCCTTTCCCGGGGCGCCTGGGCGGCTCAGTTGCTTAAGCATCCAACTCTTGGTTTCGGCTCAGGTCGTGATCTCAGGGCCATGGGATTGAGCCCCGCATCGGGCTCTGCAGGGAGTCTGCTTGGGATTCTCTCTCTCCCTCTGCCCCTCCCCCTGCTCGCACTCTCTCTCTCTCTAAATAAATTTTAAAAATCTTAAAAAAAAAAACGTCCTTTCCTGAGGACTAGGGTCAGGAGATCCAGGGAGAGGAAGAGATAGCGCCCCTGCCCTCAGAAAGCTCCCAGTCTGAGGGAGAATACATGGCACAGACAGACAAGGTCTTGTGTGAAGTAGGCACATCTGGGGGGCACTGGGCATCAGTGGCAGGGGCTAGGGAGGGGGCAGGAGGAGGTGACCGTTAATCAGGAAGGCTTCCTGGAGGGGGCCAGCTGCCGAATGAGGTTTGTTTTTTTTTTGGTTTTTTTTTTTAAGATTTTATTTATCTGAGGGCGCCTGGGTGGCTCAGTTGGTTGGGCGACTGCCTTCGGCTCAGGTCATGATCCTGGAGTCCCTGGATCGAGTCCCACATCGGACTCCCTGCTCAGCGGGAAGCCTGCTTCTCCCTCTCCCACTCCCCCTTGCTGCTGCTGGTCCAGGGATCGTGTTTTAAGAACTATTGGTGTATAACCTCCCCCAGACCCCTCTGTGGGCTGAGAACCGTTGTATCATTTGTG